TTAGTGTCTCTATAAGCCAGTTTGGGACAACAAATATCAGAAGTATTTCACACACATGGGTGGTGGGACACAAAGGCCTTATTTTCCATCACTGCCCAAGAGTTTAATCCCTGAATGTGAAACCTACCAGGACGCTTCTTGCAAAGTTGAAGTCAACAAGTGACTGTCCTTTCCTGTGTTGTTCGGCATATGCTAATGCTTCTAATTTGGTTCTGAAAGCAGCCCAAATGTCTGCTAATTTTATTATCAAAACAAATACATAAAAACAAAAAGAGAACAACGGTTATGATTAAACAGACAACGAATCAAACAATAATCACAGAGGAAGAAAACAAATGTTATTTATGAGAAAACCTATGATGAGGACATAAAAGGAAAATATTTAAATAGATCAGCAGAAAGTAACAGGAAAACTTAAAAAGCACAGTTGAATGCACAAAATAGATACGATAACTTTTAATTATCTCAAATTAATAGTGCAACCAGGAAAATCATAGCGGCTCCTTTCCCCACCGTAAGTTGCACAACTCCACTCAAAATACATGCAAGGTCCAATTAAAGAGGGTGATTGACACTCCACTGCAAGTTCATCAGGTTGATTGACACTGACCCAGTTATCAGGTCTGCTGTTGAGGCTCCGTTCCAGGATCAAAGGATTTTGCAAGAAGCCGCTAGAATTACAAATAGGGAAATATGATTCGTTCATCCTTGATTAGTGGTACTTTTTACGAGCTGTGATTTGGAGATACCAATTCGGCAGTCGCAGACAAGGGTTTTTACGTTCAACCGCCAATGTGTGTTCTTGTACATGTATTCGTTTACGGAAATGGGGAAGAAGTAGGTGTTTACGGAAGAAATAGGTCAGTTGTCACTGTCCTATATGGAATATTCCGAAAAGGAAAGTCCATGTCAGTTGGTGGGATAGCTCTTCATTTGTACTGCTTGGGTTGTTGATAATATTTTTATTGTCTTTTTCTTCTTCTTTTCTGTTTCACTGGCTGTAAATTTATATTTAACAAATTAGGCCCAGATATTTGGAATGTTTTATGGATTGAGAGATTTCGAAGCACTTGCTTGAACCGATTCACTCCCACCCACCGCCCGTGCAGCGCATACTATATACTGTAGCGAATTCAACCCACGTTCACTTTACGTACACGGCTATTGCATGTGTACACGGCTATTGAATGTATACATGGCTACTGCATGAATGGGCCGTCGCCTCCCTTTCCGATTTTGGTTCAACATAGCTGAAATATTCCCCACAAATTTCTTGTGTCAAGCTGCTTCCACAGAATGCCGAAAGCCATTTCTTTTCCCCCTTTTTTTAAGTTGGACTATGGATCTGCTGCTGGAAAAAAAATATATAATTTATGCGTACACCAATCGGACTAAAGGGAAAATGGGGGGAACCGTAGTATTTGAAATGTGTATGTAATCATGGCGCTAAAAAAAGAAGCTTCTTAACTACCTTTGGCCAGTAGTACAGACTACAACGCTCGCAGATCTACTCCCTTTCATAAATCTCTGATGAAATTATGTGAACGCGACTTTATTTTGAATGATGATTTCAGTAGGGATAAAAACGTTTGGCGACATGCTAACGTTGATGCCGGTTTTCACTTCACAAAAACGTAAATTCTAAGTAAAGTTGACATCAAGAAAAACTCACAATGAAATTCACCAGGGTTGCAATGTGTTCAATTTTTTTGCAGATTTACAGCGCAAATACTTTTGCATTGTGTGATTCTAGCAGGACGTCTGGCTTGATACGTACATGTGCATGCTGATAATCCAGCCCTTTACTTTTAGTTGAACATACATGTACATAAAGGTTGTGTTCACTATAAAAGTGTTGAAGTCAACATCATGCATGTCAAATTCAAGTCGAGTCGCGAGTCAATTTCTTTTTGTCGCAAGTGATTTTTCCTGCCAAGTCGTGTCTCATATTGCCCCCCCAAAAGAATAACTAAAAATGCAACTTGAGTCATCAACACGCCACATTCAGGTATTTTCCCTGATCACAAATTGTCAAATGCGTTTTTTTTCTGCAGGAAACTTGAAATTTAAAGCTTCAGTTTATTCACAACATGAGATTGTTAGCGTTATCAAAATTTCGTTGGCATTTTGTATTTTTTGATCACTCATGGTCTCAACCAAAAATACTACTTTACGTATACATGTACGTTACAGGGATCATTTCCCAGAACTGCAACCAACATCACAAAACACAAACAACGCAGCTGGGGTAAAAGTATGTTCTTAGGAACAGTGACATACAAAGTGCACGTTTTTTTCCCCCTTAAAAATGCCCAAGAAATACTGGAGTCAGTATGCCAGCTTCCTGAAAAGTACCTAGACAGCTTTAGAATGTCACCGCGGTGGCCGCAGTCAGATGCTAATTCCTCTGTGGAGCCAACCGCGATCACCGCGGTCTGCACGTATTTCAAACTGGGGGCTTTTCTTTCATATGCTCCTATTTGCAGCAATCCAGCGAAGCGCAACTTTACCTCACGACTGAGGCCTGAACTCGCTAGCAAGACCACTAGTACAGTCTACAGCACTTGCAGATCTATCTCCTTGCACAAAGCTCAGATGAAATTATGTGAATGTGACTTTATTTTGAATGATGATTTCAGTAGGGATAAAAACGTTTGGCAACATGCTAACGTTGATGCTAGTTTTCACTTCAAAAGAACGCAAATTCTGAGTAAAGTTGACATTAAGAAAAACACAACGAAATTCATCAGTGTTGCAATGTGTTCATCAATTTTTGCAAATAAAAAAGAGCGCGAATATTTTCTGTGTCATGTAAATATAGCAGGATGTCTGGCTCGATACGTACATGTACGTAATCCAGCCCTTGACTTTTTAGTTGAACGTACATAACGGTTGTGTTCAATACATGTTCAAAAGTGTTGAAGTCAACATGTCAAATTTATGTCATGTCGGGAGTCATTTCACTTTTAAGTTTTGTCGCAAGTAATATTTTTTCAAGTCAAGTCGTGCCTCACATTTAGTCACAAAAAGAAATAGAAATGCGACTCCAGTCATCAACACCGCACATTCAGATATTTATCCTAATCATAAACTGTCAAATGCACTTTTTTCGTGCAGGAAGCTCTGAAATTTAAAACTTCAGTTTATTACATGAGATTCTTATTAACGTTATCAAAACTTTGTTGGCATTTTGCATTTTTCATCACTCACAGATCTCAACCAAAAATACTACTTTACGTATACGTTACGGAGATCATTTCCCAGAACTGCAAACCAACAACACAAACAACATGGCCGGAGTAAAGTATGTTCTTGGGAGCAAAACAATGACATAAAACGAGCACGTTTTTTCCCCCTTAAAAAATGCCCAAGAAATATTGGAGTTGGTAGCTTTGGAATGTCACCGCGGTGGCTGCAGTCAGTTGCTAATTCCTCTGTGGAGCCAACCGCGATCACCGCGGTCCGCACGTATTCCAATAACAACAGGGGCTTTGTTAGTCAGTTGCACTGATATGTAAAGTGAGCAGGACACCGCGGTCGTCGGCTTGTAACTAGGGGTTGGACAAACCGCGGTTTAACCTTTCTGCAAAGCCGCCTTACTCAGTGGGTCCTCATCACTGCACAGGGTATTTCCTCACCTTCAGTGCGTCCTTGCCAGAGTAAAGTGCTACCGCGCATATGTTGCAACTGTTTTGGAAGGAAAACCTTCCCTTGTAGAAAGAGAGAATGACATTCACCCAGGGTGAAGGGTGAGGGAACCTGGTGTAGAGCCTCAGCGGCTGAACGTTCTGTGCCATTAAAGAAGATGAAAGAAGTATGTGAACTGGCAAATACTTTGAAATTAAACCGATCATAATGCGATGTAGAGACTGCTTCAGGAGAGTTGTAATGTTGGCAATCAGGATAAGGGATATCTCCAGTTCAAAAACAGGGCCCATGCCCATGTGAGCAATAGTCTGAATGAACAGGAGAGATGTGCCCAGCGGTTGGTTGTACTCTGCAGGGACATACAGCGATGGAGGTCACCTGGAATTCTGAATGTTGACTAAATTCTGAAAGGTCAAAAGGGGAATTTGGTAGAAAGTCGTTACAAAAGGATCCATTTTAGGCAGATGGGGAGTGTAAACCAGATAGTTCCTTAAGTTTCACTTTGAAAACTAGGAGATCAGTCAAAGCACAGTTTTGGCTGAAAGGACACCACTCAGTGGGCTGGAGAGAGCCTCAATATGAAAATGGTAGAGAGGAACCAGGTCAGACCACGCATCAGGCCAAGCAAGAAATGTGTTTGCGTGCCAGAGCCCGAGAGGGGTTGGGGACCGCACCCAGATCAATCAGAGGAATATACCTGAGTGATGGAAAACGGTAGACTGCAAGCTTATAATGCTTGTGATGGTTTCAGCCTTATCTGGAAAACTGTCTATGCTTAAATAGCCGTCAAAAAACTTGAGTGTCGGGATGGTGAACTGGCGCAGATAGGCGGCCACAACTTCCTCCATACAGGTGCCCTCGAGGAATTGAGAGATCGAGTGGCCCAATACAGAAGTTCCTACGGAAAAGCTGAATCAGGATGAATTGTAAGGCCATATATTAGCTGAAGGCATGGAAGTAAGGCATCATCATTTCATTATCATCTCTTTTGGGTGAGGTGAGGTTCTTAAAAGAACCGGTGACTTTTAACTTGACATTTCAGGCCAGTGTGCTCTGGCTGTCCTCAGGAGAGTGTGCCGGAATGCATTCGACAGCTGGTTATAAAGGGAATCCAGAAGTGGTGGAGCATGGAACGGGATTCGCGGGTTGTGTGACTCAGCGTGTGTGCTGTTGCGTGAAGGTGATGGATCCTAGAATTGGTGGGAAACCTTGGGTTTAGGTATAGGGGACCCTTCTGCCAAGGGGGGGACGGGGTGGCTTTGGGTAGAGAAGACCCTAAAGCCGGGGGTGGGGGGCCATGGGTTTCGGGTATAGGGGACCCTACTGCCCAGGAGTGAGTGTCTGCTTGGGTGCTAGTAGTGGGAACCAGATGTCGCTGAGCTTGAAACCAACGTCTTGGGTACAATATTGTGCCAGAAAATCTGGATGGCTTCTCGGATTCTCCTTAGGAGCCAGTTCTGGATGGGGGTGATAAGTTCTGCTTTGTCCCGTTCGATGTGGTGGTCCATGGAATGTGCATGTTTGATGACGGCCGACTTGTCATATTCTCGTTGGCCGTGCCAGTGGTGTTCTTGGAGTCTGGTGGGGAGGTTCCTGCCGGTTTCCCCAATGTATACTTGGCCGCATTCACATGGAATGCGATATAAAGCAGGGCGACTGCTGGGTGGGTGCTTGTCCTTGTGGGTGTGAAGTGCAGCCTTCAGCTTGTAGGGTGCTGAATGATATACTTTGATGTTGACTGACTGCAGGATGCTCCGGAGTTGGTGGGAGGTGGGGCCCAGGTACGGTAAAGCATACTGTGGCGGTGGGGGTTCGGGGGACTTTGGGTATAGGTGACCATAATGCCACGGGGTATGGGGGGGACTCCGGAGATAGGAGACCGTAATGTCCTGGGGGAGGGCTTGATGTGGTGGAGTTCTTGGTGTAGGTTGTTCTGGTGGCAGATCTCGTAGGCTCTGCGGATCAGGGTGCAGTTGACTGAGGTCTTGATGGCTGGGTGGTAGAAAGATATCTGGTGCAGGTACCGGTCGGTTTGGGTGGGCTTACGGTGGACACGGTGGATGAGGGTGCCGTCTGGGTTTCTGGACAGTTGAACATCTAAGAAGGAGAGGTGTCTGTTTTGTTCTTGTTCCATGGTGAACTTGATAGTGGGGCATTGTTTGTTGAGGTAGTCAAGGAATTCTTGGAGGTGATCTTGACCATCAGGCCATATGACGAATGTGTTGTCAACATAGCGCAGCCAAATGGTGGATTTGAGGTTGTTGGTGAGGACAGACGATGTTTCAAATTCTTCCATGGAAATGTTAGCAAGGACCGGGGATATAGGGGATCCCATGAAGGTCCCAGCTGTCTGCTCGTAAAACTTGTCTTGGAACTTGAAGTAGCTGGAAGAAACGCAGAGGTGGATGAGGTTGGCAATCTGGACGGAAGAAAGAACTGTGTGGTCAGCGAGGGAGGGGTCGCTGTCCAGTCGATCCTTGACAATCTGGCATGCTTCTTTGGTGGGAATAGCGACATCACATCGAAGCTGACCATGACTGGCTGGAGTGATAGGTTTCTTGTGAGCTCAACAAACTGGGTGGATTTGGAGATATGGTGTGGTGTGTTGCTGACCAGGGGCTGGAGGATGCCGGTCACGAAGCGGGTGGTCTCGAACATCAGTGAGCCCCTTGAAGACAAAATGGGGTGCAGGGGGATGTCCGGCTTGTGGATCTTAGGTTGACCAAAGAATCTTGGACAGGTAGATGCCGACGGGCGGAGGCGATAGTACAGGTCTGCTGGGATGGAGTCGGAGCAGTGGAGGGCGAGGAGGTGGCTGGCGATGCGTTTCTTGATGGCTTGAGTGCGGTCCTTGGGTAAGGGGCAGTAGATGCCGGATGTGAGGGTGTCTTGTACTTTGTTGGGGTAAGCCGCACGGTCCATGACCACGGTGGCATTGCCCTTGTCGCCTGTGATGATGTGTATGGACTTGTCGCTGCAGAGATCATGGAGGGCTTCAACTTCGGGTATGGTGAGGTTGGGATTGACCGGTTTGGTGTGTAGGAGTGCTTGGTGGATCTTGACTTGGATGTTATCGGCTGTGGTCTTGTCGAGCTTCTGTGTAACAGGTTCCATGGCTTGGATGATGTCGGCTAGGGGGATGGCGCGTGGTGGGGTGGTGAAGTTCATATCTAGGGACAGGACATCTGTCTCAGTGGTTGACTGGGTGCATTGGCTGAGGTTCACGACGGTGTGTCTTTGGAATTCACTCTGGCTGCGGAGGTGGGCTGGGAGGGACGCTTGTGGTGTTTGCCGTCGGGATATAGGGGATCCCATCTTCCGATGGGAAAGGCGCTGGAATTTCCGGAGTTGTTTGTTGCAGGAGGTGGTGAATGCGTGGTGGCTGGAGGACTGGGTGAAGGACGAAATCTTGACGAAATCCTGCTGGTGTAGGGTCGACTTGAGGGTGGCTTCGTTGGTAGCGACGTCCTTGTCTAGGTGGCTGAGGGTATGTCTTGTGTGTTAGATGCGTTCTCTTAGGAGGGCTCGGCTAGCTGACTGTAAGACGTGGAGGGAACGGTTGCTGCAAACGGGATTGTGGAGCTTGAGGCCTAGTGGGGTGATGTGCGAGTCTTGGCAGCATTTGAGGAAAGTTAGATTGTTGATGTACCTTGAGCGCGGGATAGAATTATGCTCATAGGTCCTAATTCGTCAAACTGTAGGCTCTCCGTAGAATGAAGATAAGTAAGATTTGAAGCTTTGCATGGTGGAAGAGACATGAGAAATGGGTTTGCAGGTACACCATGGAATCAGTCTCTTTTGGGCAAGTTGGGATTCTTGATGTTTTGGCCAGTGTGCTCTGGCTGTCCACAGAAGAGTCTGACGGACTGGAGTGGATAGCTGGTTATAGAATACGACAAATTGGCCATCATCATCATTACTTACTTTGTGCATCATTCAACAGACTTGTTTAAGCTTTTGAGTACACTGCTCTGAGAAAAATCGAGAAAACCATTGTTCATTTTCAACACTCAGAGCACAGCTAGCAAAACACAGTGGAATGCAGCAGGACGTTCCTGCCTGCCAGGACAGTTCACAGATGAGGAGGTCTATCTGCAGACTAGTTATGGCCATGTGGCCTGCAGTACCACAGTGACTATGCGACCACATGTACCATACATGTACATGTGCATGATATACCATGTGCAGTTCGCTGTTCACACGTAAGCCTGCCTACATGGGTCAAAAACCGTTCACACACCATCAAAGCCCATCGTAAACACTTTATACATCAACAAATGTGGTAACTACATGTACATGCATCCTTGCATTTTGGTCATGTGAGTTATTGTGATTAGAAAATTGGAAAGCTAAATGTCTTAATATTGGCAATTCTGTTGGCGAACAACTGGCCTGGAGTTCCTCTGGAGAGGTCATAATTGAATGGACAATACTATTATCTTGTGGGGGGATACCAAGACGATATATTTATGTGAGTGAACTTCTAAAGTTTCATAAATAAATTTTACTTTCAGACCAGTCCAAATTCTCTTTTAGGGCAAAGATCAAAAGTATTATTCCTGTTCTGCCGCGTTCCTCCTGTTCTGCACAAGGATTAAATAAATCCAACAATATGCCTGTTCTCCCACGGTAGAAATCCCAGCTTAGGCGAGTGCCAAGGGAAGGACTGGAGCCCATTAGAAGTTCCATTGTGTGCGTCCTTTGTGATGTTAACTGCCTGTTCCCCTGCGTGCAGGCATGGCTGCAATGGCAGAGGTATGTGAAAATTTTGGCAAGTTTTTATTGGAACAAATAAACATTGTTTGCGAACCCAAATTTGTGATGCATGTGCAAATTTTTGTGTTGAATTTAGTTCATCTCAGGGGAATGGAATACTAGAAGAAATCTAGCTCCATTGCATCCGCATGAGGTATAAACTGGTCCACAGTGGACTACAGTGCAGTAATGTTTGCAGCTTACTGTGACCAGCCAGACTGTACACTGCCTGGCACTTACATTTTTATGCTTGGTGCACATTCCACATCGTATGCAACCTGGTATTTCCGAGTTGCTGCGTGACAATGTGCTTTGTAAATAGCGCCACCAATAGGTGAAATTGTTTTATGTATTCAGACTGCGTGTCTTTACTGATGTCAAGTTAATATGTCCAGTATGGAATCTCATCCCCTTTTCCCTCTTTTTGGATGGGCTTTTCTCACATGACTCACGCTGTTCTTTAATGGAAATAAGGGTGCGAATGACTGGTGATTTCACATGCACAATGATTTCACGCAAGACCAGCGTCTCATACCATGGGTACCGGTTAACAATAATATTCTTTGTTCGAAGCTGGATATCTTGCATAAATTAGCAACTGGTATTTTCAGGTGACTTGTTGTCACACCATAGCCGTGTTTTCTAAATAATAGCTGTCCTGCATTCTGGGGACTCTTGGTTATTTTCCTTGTTGCGATGCATGCATTCTTGGGTGTCACTTGCCTTCGTCATGTAGACCGAGCAACATCTAAATATGCTCTCCTTTTGGACTTCACGTCCAACTTACGATAGTACTAGGCCTTTTTTAAATCCGTTATTCATTCACCTTGGTCTACCGTATTTCAAACCGCATTTGACGGAGTGTCGTCTTGAGGCATGTGAGATATGGGACTGCTTTGGTCGGCGAGTACAACAAACTTGTGATCTGTTAATATTTTAAGTTGAATAGATTACCACGTTCGAAATATTATGCAGACATACCACTGAGTTAGTGTGACAGCTCATTTACATATCCCTCCTGCGTAGCGCCCTCGCTTGACCCTTGAGGTAAACCTCAGACTTAGCCTTTGTCTTGAGTGAGTCATTCCACCACCAGCAATGGTACTTTCAGACCACACATAGCATTTTGCGTTATTCTCCACACATGTACAGTGTACTTAGTTGCCTCAAGATTTCCGTCCAAGAGTGGGTCAGCGATGTCAAAGGTCAGCTGGCTGCACGACAGATCAGAGGAGAGGACGGCACTGCCTTCATCATCAACCATCTTGCCGGCAGAGCTAGGCAAGAAATTCTTGGTAGGGGTGATGCTGTGAAGGGTCCAGACGACATCTTCCGTGTACTGCTCAAGGTCTTTGGTGATGGGGAAATGCTTTCCCAGATTCAGCAGAAGTTTTCCTCTGTCCGCCAAGGCCAGGGAGAAGATCTACTGAGTTTCTCCCTTGAGCTAATGGAATTGTTTAATTCCATGGCTCACCTGGATAAGTCCTTCAATGCCACGAGAGATATGACGCTAAAGGGAAGGCTAGCGGAAGCAGTTAATGATGAGGGCCTACGGAGAGAACTGCGCGGCATGAACATTGATTCGCCAGAGCTAAGTTTCTTCGATGCTCGAGACCGTGCCATTGAATGGCTTGGCACCAGCCGAGTCAAAATCCAGAAGGAGGTAGCAGTACAGGGGGTCAGGCCATAGATAACACTCATGATTTGAAGGCACTTCTCGAGAGAAAGGGCCAACAACTGCAGATGCAACAGCAGCAGATTGAGGCACTCCTAGACGTTGCTAAAACTGCCAGTCCACAGGTCACCTCAAGTGAGACTGTCCCCATCCCCCGTCATCGCCATCCAACAGTGGCTACACTCAGTCACCAGGAGGAATGCATCGGAGTACAAAAAATCCCCAGCAGTTTGTCCCCGGGCAGGCCCCAGTGGAGCAGTTCGTCCTCCAGAAGCCTGGCCCCCAGTTAAACTAGAACAGCCTGTCATTGAGAGCCAACACGGCAGGCCCACAAGAATCGACTTTTGGCGGCTCAATCTACAGAAAGCGGTAGTACGGTGTTCAGAATCTGTCGTCCAGCTTGGTGCATCAAGGGTGCGTTGTCTACTTGACACAGAAGCGCAAATTTCAATGGTTACTGAATCTTCCTTCAGAGAGCACTTTCCTGAGACAGAATTGGTAGATGTGACTGCGTTCATCAGCATCTCAGGTGCCCAAGGTCTGGCCATTCCCTACCCTGGCTATGTTGAATTGCCACTAACAGTACTGGGCCACTCTTTCATCAACATGGGTTTTTTGGTGGTCAAGGACCCCACAGGCACCTCAATTGCAGAAAGGAAGAGAGTACCAGGAGTGATTGGGCCAAACATCTTCAGGGATATCCGAGAGAAGTTACGGCAAGATGCGAGAGGCCAAAACTACCTGGAGGTGTTGAACAGACGAAGTGACGGACCCGAGTGGGCTCATGTACTCGCTCTCTATGAGGAAGTGCGAAGTGGCACTGTACATCAGCCAGATATTCCTGTCGCCACAAAAGACATTGAGAAGACAGCATTCCGAGTAGGAACAGGAGGGTTGTATGAGTTCACTCGTATGCCCTTCGGTCTGTGCAATCGCTAGCCACATTAATGCACTTGATGGACAAAGCCTTCGGTGACAAAAACTTCCAGTCCCTCATTGTCTACTTAGATGACATCCTAGTCTTTGGCTGTACATTTAATGAGATACTTGAGCGACTACGGCTGGTGCTTGACCGCCTCGCTGAATTTGGCTTGAAGGTGAAACCAGAGAAGTGCAACCTGTTCATGGAACAACTGAAGTACCTGGGCCATTCCATATCTGATAGAGGGATATCTCCAGATCCTTAGAAGATTAGCACCGTGACGGAATGGAGGAAGCCAGCCACAGAACGTGAACTGCGTGGTTTTCTTGGTCTAGCTGGGTACTACTGCCGTTTTGTACCAGGGTTTGCTAAAGTCGTAGCCCCACTTCACGCACTCTTAGGAGGAACTGGAGAGAAGAAGCACAGAAAGGCCAGTTCTACCAAACCCATTTCGGTTGCATGGGATGAGTCTTGTGACAAGTCGTTCAATGACTTGAAGCAACTTCTGATTTCTCTTGTCAATTCATCATAGAGGTTGATGCCAGCTTCCAAGGTCTGGGCAGCGTATTGTCCAAACAACAAGAGCAAGGTTTGGTAGTCCTGGGTTATGCCAGTAGAGGCTTGCGGGAGAATGAAAGGAACATGCATAACTACAGCAGCATGAAGCTGGAACTGTGGGCATTGCATTGGGCAATCACTGTGAAGTTCAGGGACATCCTTCTCGTTTGTACCGAAAATAACTCCATCACCTGTCTTCAGACGAACACGAAGTCGGGAACGACGGAGACCACATGGGCTGGAGAGTTAGAACAGTTCCAGTACACTATTAAGTATAGATCAGGAAGAAGTAACCACAATGCCAATGCTCTCAGCAGGAAGATCACTCACAGTGAAGACCTGCAAACTGCCCACTCTGCAGAGATGTCCACTGAAGAGACCATTTCCTCATCCTATGTATCTACTCCCATTCCCTCCATGGTTGTTTCACAAACAACAAGAATCCTGGTTGAAGCTGGACTAGATGAACGCTGCATCAGACCAGATACGACAGCACCTGCTGCGATGTCAACCCTCCCCTCCATCTCTACCGAAGATATGACTACACTCCAACGGAAGGACAAACACCAAGGCAGATTGTGGACTTACTGGGAGAGTGGACGACAACCACACATCAGTGAGATCATAAAGGAGGAAAAGCCAACATGGAAGTTGCTGAAGTTTTGGAACCACCTGGAGGCCTGAGTCAACATTCTCTACAAGAAAAGAAAAGAAGTAGGTGGCAACGTTAGTCAACTTCTACTCCCTCAAGTTCTACGAGAGCAAATGTTCACTGCGGTTAATGTTCAGGTCAGACATCAAGGAGTGGAAAGGACACTTGCACTGGCCCGTAGCAGATGTTTCTGGCCTGGGATGACATGACATTGAGGAGTACTGCCAGAATTGTCAGAGGTGTATGCTAACAAAGGCTGGGAAGAAGTTCCACCTGACAATGGGCTCCCTGATTGCTAAGAGACCTCTCAAAGTTCTTGCCATGGACTTCACCGTCCTGGAGCCTGCCACAAACAACACAGAGAATGCACTGGTTCTCACTGATGTCTTTACGAAGTTTACACAAAATATACCATGCAAGGACCAGCAAGCTGGTTGGTGAGTTGGTGAGTTTTCAACAAGCAAGCCATACCATGCAAGGACCAGCAAGCAAGAACGGTGGCCCAATGCTTAGTGTGAGACTGGTTTGTTTGTTTTGGGGTTCCTCACTGACTTCACGGTGACCAAGGCAGGAATTTCGAAAGCAAAGTAATCCGGGAACTCTGTGAGATGTACGGCATCACAAAAAGCAGAACGACCCCATATAACTTTGAAGGAAATGGACAGTGTGAGCGCTTCAATCGTACTTTGCACAACCACCTTCGTACACTGCCCCTGGACCAGAAGCGTAGATGGCCAGAACACCTCCCAGAGCTGATCCACGCATACAAAGCGACACCCCACTCCTCAGCAGGCTACTCCCCCTATTACCTCTTCTTCGGGAGGGAACCATGATTATCGGTCGACCATCTTCTTGGGTTCGGGAGAGAGGAAGATGACGATCCCGAGATTGACCACTGGGTAGCAGACCATCATGTGCGAATGCAGCAAGCCTTTCAGAAAGCTGCAGGCACAACAGAAAGGGAAGCCCTTCCCAGACAGCGACGACATAATGATTCATCAAGGCTGGAAGATCTACCCATTCGAAACCATTCCGTCAAGGGCAGGAACAAGATTCAAGATGTGTGGAACGACCGACCTCATAAGGTTGTGGGAAGGCCAAACCTGACTGGCCATGTCTACGTCGTCACGCCACTCGATGGAGAGGGGAAGGAGAAGACTCTGAATCGGAGGGACCTCCTAGACAGCAGAGCCTTGGTACTGCAGCAGGATGAACCGCCAGCTACTGGGTGTCAGCATCAAGATGATCCAGTTATGCCAACGCACACCGACGAAAATAAGAGAGCAGGAGAAGAGGCTGAAGAGGTGGTCATCATACTGGAGACAGAGGGTGTGACCCCGGCAATGTTAACAGGTCAACCAGAGCCAGAGAAAGGACCCACTGCTTTCCACAAAGCAGGGGAGTGCCACCCCGATAATCTAGCCCCTCAACATCCTCCAGAAGTGGAAGATTTCCATCCGGAGCCCACTACAAGGAAGGAAGTTCCAATTGCCGAAGCAGAGCAGTTGCATCTGGAGCCGACTACAAAAAAGGAGGTTCCAATTGCGGAAGCAGAGCAGTTGCATCTGGAGCTTACTACAAAGGAGGAGGTTCCAATTGCGGATGCAGAGCAGTTGTTTCGCACCAACCGTGCTGGAGTGGGACGACAGTCTAATCTCCATCACCTTCCGAAGTCATTCAGTCGGAGACTCCAGCAACGCCTGTGCCAGCTCCTGTGATAGACCCACGAGTACTGGCAGACATCAGCCGAACGCAGCTGCTGTTGGCGCAAATGTTGGCTGGAGTCCAGCCAAGATGATTTATTTTTGTAAATAGTAAATTGTACTTTGTTTTCTTGTATTAGTCTTTTTGTTTAGGTTGTCGGGACGCCAACCTTAGATCAGGGGAGTACGTGACAGCTCATTTAGGGCCGGCGACCATTTAGACCCGGTTTGAAAAGGGCCCCCCGGTAAGCTCCCCTGTTGCAAAAACCCCTTTCATACTGGCCTGGCTACAGGCCTGGGATGCTGGACTGGTTGCTGATCTCGAACTTCTCCATCCTGGGGTCTATTGTTTGCAAGTACTGGTACATGTAATCTATCCAAGAAGGAACATGCCTGTGGTTTTTTAATCCTTCAGCTCTATACAATGTTTACACTAATCCGCTTAGACCCCTATTCATCTGTGGAAGCATAGTGGGGGAAGCCTTTCATCAGGGACTTTGAGATGCTGATGTACAGACAGGCCTGATACCGGCCTGGAGTAGCCTGAATACCGGGCAGGCATTATACAGGGTGGGCTACTGGGGGGCCCTTTTCAAACCGGGTCTAAATGGTCCCCGGCACTTACATATCCCTCCTGTGCAGCAACCCTCACTTGACCCTTGAGGTAAACCTCAGACTTAGCCTTTGTCTTGAGTGAGTCATTCCACCACCAGCACTGGTACTGTTCAGACCACACATAGCATTTTGCGTTATTCTCCACACATGTACAGTGTACTTAGTTGCCTCAAGATTTCTTGGACGACTCGACTGGAGTAAGAATTCATTTACAATGTATGTTTAGTAATTGTTCCTATCTTTAAAGTTTCTTAATCTTTTAGCCTCTGTGAACACTTTCTGATTAATTTGGAGGTTAGCTCAAGTGTTCTCTGGTTATTGAATGAGTGGATTCATTGATGATAGTCTTAGGAAACCTAAATCTAGTCCTTAAATTATGTGATGCAGCATATACATGTAATTCTCTTTTTTACACTTAATTAAGAGTGCGATCTGCATATTGGTTAGCGTATTATTTTGTTATGTTATTTCAACATAATGTTGTTCTTTGCATTTTCATTTATCCTAAGTTTGTCTTGATGAACCCTTAGGTTATGATGAGTGGACTGTATTGAATCTATGGTATGCTGAGTCCATATTATACATGCACCTAGAGATCATTGCACACTTGTTTCAGTTGTTTCCCATTTTTGTCTTTGCAAGTTAAAGCATTCACATGCCTTGTATTAGTTCATTTTTGGAATTTAACTTGACTCTACTGTTAGAAGCAAATTGTGTCATTGAGTTTGATTCATTTCTATTGATTGCACTAGATTCTAGAGGATTGTTAGGTTTCTTTTTATAATTTACTTTGCTGGATTGGTCTTTCCTGGAGCATTGTATTTATATGGAAGTTATATTTTTGTATCTTTTCAGAGTTTCAGTTTCCCACCTTTTTAAGATGCAGTCACCATAAAGAACCAGACACAGTAATGTACACCATCCTTGTGTCACATCTCAAGGTGTCACATTGTAAACATGTAAAAATGTAAACATTTGCAGTATCTGAAGTTTGCTCAGTCTTCTTGAAATACTACTTTTGGGTGAGGGGAAATTCTGCAAGGCAACACCCACACCAGGTCATAGATATCAATCTTTTTCTTAAATACCTGTCAGACTTTTTACATACTTCATCCCCCAAGGAGTGTATAAAACCTCACGTTTGGAAATGATCACACTTGGCATACATGTACAGGTACTTACAGTGTGTTAACATCTCATTATAATACTCGACATTTACTTGGGTTATGCGCATTTTTAAATAATGTGACCTACGTATTGACCAGGTTTAAGGTTTAGGTCTCATTTAATCCGGAGGTACATTAACACCCTGTAATGCTGAGTATACTACTGAACCTATGTACATATAGGGGTTGTATATTGTTGGCGTCTTAGAGTGCTGTCTGTTGTCATTTTAATTTTGTTACAATGAATGCACAAAATTGGTTTACTCAAACTTACCTTAGTGGAATAAGGAAATGCCCTCGAATGTAACGTCATGTGCATAAGGTCTATACATCAATCGGATAATTCATCTCTTGATTAGAGCTTTTCTTGGTTAAATTGCAGATGGAAATGTGACCCACTCTGCGAAAATTGGTAATAAGTCGCCAGAGCCACTCTTGAGTTACAGGCCTTTTAAAGAACCCTGCACAGTGGAAATAAATAGAAACCCTCAACACTCTTACTTGTACATTTTTTATTAAAATACCTAAATAAATGATACATCAATGCAAAGGGTTTAAGTTACTCATTCTAATTGAAGGTAAAATCAGATTACAGAAAAAATTACATTATACACTTTTTTACAGAGCCGGTTATAAATATGATTGGCCATGTATTGAGTATGATCAGTGTAACCCATTTAATACATGTACATGTATGTGCACTGACAGCTTAGTATTTATGAACTGTATGTATGCCAAGTTGTTAATCATGTACATGAAAGGATACGGCTGAAAGGCTAACATAGATTTTGGATTTTTTTATCTCTCACAGATGACATACATATACAACTTATAAGGCTGTAGTTTATTTTTGATATACACGTAGTTGCATCCAACTGTACAAAAAGTGAACCTGCATTAACCTTTGCGACAGGGAAAGAATAAATCTTTTTATCTTTTGTAAGAAATATTCGGGTCACTGACTCAATTTTGTTGTAGCTTTACCACTCTGGTTACATTACATTAACTCTAACGCTGAAATATAATGGCAAAGAAGAGGCAGCACTATAGGATTTTTTCTTATACTCAGTGCCAATAATAACATCAGTTAATATCAGTGACTATCAAAGATCATAAAACGCTGTGAAGCACAATCTCTGGTCATTATACGCTGCACTGTGCCTTTGTCAGTCATGTCTTGCTTGCTCTACTCATTACTACTGGAATGGAAACCAGCCCAGGTGGACATGGGTACCGTAAGTACATGCACACTCCACACCTCACAAATCATGTGGTGCATCTGTTCATTTTTGTTTTTGGTTTCTATGCATGTAATTAATTATGTTGTGTATTATCAGTAGTCAATTGGTGAGTGCTGAAAAAAAGAACACACAGAACTGCCACATGGCTCACCCAGCGAAGGATACCCATCAAATTCCCAAAGTTGGTAATTTCAAGGACTTAAGAAAATTTAGGTTTAACAACGACCCTATATGTAGCTCACGTGCTGCTGTAACTACATGTAATTGCAGATATTTGTGCAGTGCAGCTATATTCACCGTGCGGCCTAAATTCCGAAAATTGCAGTATTTAGCGTCACAACACATAATTATCCCAGTCAAAACAAGGATTTTTTGTCTTTGTGACTTGCAGTTTAATTTGAAATATGTATTTTTGGTTCGACCTTGCAAGGTCTTCCTGGGAAATGAGTTTCCCTACCAGTTTGACTAGAAAGTCCTTGGCGCTGTTGACTTTGATGAAGATATTGTCCAAGTCATTCTCGTTTATTATGGCTGGATGTTCCTTGGATCCTATTAGGACCTGTTCGTCCTCTAGTTGATGGTAGTTTGGCGAGATCACTGCTTCTCTACCCTGAGCTCCCAGACTTAAGCTTGTAGCCCCTCCAGAGTTTGGTCAGATAGTCCAATTTAGACAGCATCATGGCATTCTACACCAGAATGTGCTGCTGGAACTGACAATCAAAGGCTCCCCCATCTGGCGCCTGCGTGGTCAGATATGGAACGGCCAAGACTTCCTCGTCTGGGGGCTACGTGGTTGGATATAGAATGTCCAAGGCTTCGTCGTCTGGGGGCAGTGTGGTCGGATCCAAAACGGTTAAGGTATCCTCAGGGAGCTGTCTGACCGCGGTAGCCATCTTGAGTGCAGCAAGCGGTATGTCTTCATTGTCTGAACTTTCGATTACTCTCTCTGAAAATAAAGAATGGAAATACTCAAATAAGGTTCACAATTGTCACTCATGAACCATACAGTGATTAAAGAAAAGTACTTTGCTGTACATGTCAATGAAAAACTTGGTCCATTTAACTGCAAAATGTAATTTGAAATAATATGCTTTGCTACTGATCAAATGCTAACGTTTTAACCAGATACATCGATGAAGAAAACACCGCGTCTTGCATCCTTATTTATACTGGGGAAAAACGGGATATAAAACTTACTCTTGTCGCTGAGTTGCACAATTTTTGCCTTGAACTGGCCAGATTTGTAGGCCACCTGCACTTCAATCCAAACCTTTAGCTGACCATGGGTCTTGACCCTGCTCCTAGAGACCGGTTCTACTACGCCAAACCATTTAGAATTCATCCACTTTATTATAACTTTACTGGAAGAAGACATGATTGCAAGAGTTTCAGAGTACATGTGCATGCAGATGAGTTTTTGCAAGAGAAATGAAACAAGCCTAAAGTAATTCAGGGCATCACTTCCATTAAATCCGTCCTGAAAACCAAGTTTGAATAGCCCTTGTGGATTTGTTTGATTTCAATACACTCATACCACTGGCCGCTCCCTTTGTTGCTCCTGCAATGGTTTCTTATGAATACTTTTGTACGAACGCACTCAGTATATGTTTTTCTTAAATGCAGAGTTTTTCAGCCTTTGATGGCACCACTACATCATGTTTACCAAATAGTGATCAGGGCATTCTTTTGTTGCACTGACAACAAATCTAAAATCCAAGTGTGATTGACAGATTTCATTCAGGTTACACGATCAACTTGCTTGCTAGGAAATGCTGATGTTAGCGTCATTACATCAGCCTGTTACACTAGAGGCAGGCTTACAACGTAATGTTACTTGCATACCATAGTTCTGATAAAATGTCTCTGGTAAAAAGTTCTGTTCTCAAGGAGGTCAATGCTAGCTGTCCAAATGTGGACGTGACCTCGCTCCAAAACAGCCCTGAGTAGAAAATCCATAGGCAGGAAAAGCTGAAACGACCAGTGATCGGTCGTCCAGCAGTGACGGAACTGTATCCTGGAATTATGGATACAGCAAGGTCTTTCGTCGAGAGCAATGGCTTCAAAGCTCATTGATGATGCCAGGAGAACAGCGGGATGTGTGGATCTACCTTGCGACAGGTAAAGAATCACCTTTTTCACACGATCCCTATCTTGAGGATCAAAGGCTGAATCTAGGTAAAGAACTTCAATTCTACTTCAAAACAAGGCTATGAAAAAAACTTTCGTATTGTACTTTAATTTGTGTAAGTAAACAATGTTTGCATATGAAATGTAATAATAAAACTTGACTTTTTCCTGTATGCTCAAAAAATAAATAAACTAGAAAAACATTTTTTTTTTAACTGTGCAACTGGTGACGGAATATGAGTTGACCTTACTACATTTTCGTGTACTTTTTTTCCATACACAGGCGTGCGCACAATCACTCAGCCCCCTAACAAGTGCTTCAAAACAGTGTCCATGTACCAAGGGCTCATCGACACTAACGTTCCTGCCAAAGAAAACTCCCTACAAAACCCGAACGACAACAGCCACTTCTACTCTGTGAGAGTACGATATGCTTTAGAGTTGTCTTCAAAGTTCAACCACCTTGCACTTGTCTATTCCTTAGACAGTAAAGAGTAACATGAAGGTTGGTGGGCACACATTGGCTGTTGACCGGTGAATCAGTGTCAGCAAATTCTTTCCCACCCAAGACGCACTCAATTACAGCAATCGCAATTTCCCCATCCCGGGGTATCATATCGTGTCGTCCAGATATCTGCGGCTGGAACCATCCATCCTCATCACAAAAGATCACCTCGGCAGAGACCAGTTTGTGTGAGTAAAACTTCTTTATTTATCATTAGGCTTATATCATCCCCGTCTGCATCCCTCCTGCTCACCAAAAGGTACAATTTTGAGAACTTGTGAACACACATATTTCAGTATCACTGATTTGCAAGTTGCTAAACAAAGAAATGTGTTGTGGAACTGACTATTCTGTGCGCAACAGGTTGTTAAAACAGGGTTGAATTTTTCTCTTAGCCCCACCACGTTTTTTTTTTGGACCGCATACGAGTCAGTGAGCACGGAGAATGTGTTCACAAAGATGTTTACGAAGATGTGAAGCCTGGTGCAAGTGTGTCTTCACCAGTAAGAAGACAATGCAAGCCTGCCAACTTTTAACTTATAAGTATGTTTCAAACTTCACTGAGACATGATACTGTTGCCTCATGTAATACTGAATTGCTAGTATTACATGTATGAATCAGAATACTTCAAGTTTGATTAAATTTCACCTGTTGTGAACTTGAGGTAAAACATTGCTCCAGTCCATACACAAATGTTAGAAGAGAAAATTCAAAGTGCCCAACATTCGGGTCCCTGCCATTTTTGGGTACGTCATCTCCATGAGTGAGCAGCACGTGAACCAGTGTTGTCATTAAACCTAAACTTGTTCAAGTACTTGAAATTACCAATTTTGGCGGGCTGGATAAGTGTCTTTGCTGGGTGGACCATACAGCAGGTTATTTTTTAAGCAATTACCAAATGACCAGTAAAGTATACAAAACATGAATTACACTTAATCAGAAAAAAAAAACAGACACACCACACAATTTGTGAGGTGTAAACGGTACATTTGCAATTCTATTCAATCTCTCTGGACTGGTTTCCTTTAGTTCCAACACATGAATGGAGCCAATGGAAATGGCAACCAATGAAAACATGACTGCCTTGAATTAGTGCTTCCTCATCCCCACACCTTGAGTAAGAGCTTCTACGTATGGTTTCAGACACTGCTTCAAGATGGGAGGAACCAGCTAAACCAAAATGTTAAGCCAAAACCACTCTTTTATCGTGAAACTGTTGTTTTACAGCTCAGTCTTGACTCCATTGGAAATAAACGAAGACACGCAGACAATAGTCCTGGCCGTAGCTCTGCAAGCCCGTTTCAGAGCCTACGATCGCAAGCCTACATTAAAAAGGGCTGGTGTTGAATGGGCATTCTTTCTATGTTCAGACACTGAAAAGTGTGTTTGTTAATTTTATCAGACGTTTATCACAAAATCAAATTAGTTATGGCAAGTCACAAGTCATTTTTCCTAGTCAAGTCTCAAGTTAAAATGAGAAATGAAAATGGCGATTTTCTTTCCGAGTCAGCGACACCGAAAAATTTCCGTCAACCTTAGTTGGTCAAAAAAAAAAGGTTCTTCAGAGAACAAGTTGTATTATGAATACACTTGTAACTCTGCTTTCAGAGACCTCTCAATTTGTTGCACATTAGCTACATGTAGGTAAAAATCTCAACTCATCATGTCCTCTGCAAGATATGAGAAAAAAAATGTAATCTTTACTATTTTCCGAGACTTCCTGGCATGCATGAGGCCAGTGATTCTTTTATCGGATACAATTTCCCATTGTTAAGCGGCCACACAGATATAGCCCTATTTTATTGATGTCCGGAGGGCATCAAGCGTGACCGTTTCTTCCAGCTATTGTTCTGCAATTTAATAAAGACTCTTGCAACAGCTCCCGGTAACAGTTGCAGTATGATTTGAACGATTTGTATTTTCCAAAGATCATTTGTCTGGACGATCTTTGGAAAAATCATACAATTTCTCTTTTCTTGAAAATGACAGGATTACCTGCAGTAAGATTTCACAGATTGTCTGACACTTTTATGTACTTACTTTACTGTAAGATATTTCAAGATAATTCAACAGTCTCGTTTTTGAGATCTTACAAATCCTATAGGCTTACACACCCCAGCGTAGGGCAGAAAGCTGTCTGACAATCATAAAATGAGTCACAGCATAGAAACATGCTGCCATCAGAATATTTACAACTAGGTTTGTTCTGAGTTTAAAAGTTTATGAGCAAGAGATATGCCTGCCAACACCCAGTCATGTGTAGGAACAAAGAAAAGAGACCAACAGCTACACCAAGAGCAACAGCTAGTGCTGCAGCCAAACTGCTGGATTGAGCCCAAAATCCTTCATTGCTTGGAATGGGTCAAGTCTCCTAGTGATCCTTCCCCTGCCCAGCCTACATATGCAAATTTCCCATGTGCCTACTGCAATTCATTGAAAAGACTTGCAGTCTCGCCACCATGTTCGTCCTTCTTTTCGAAGTGGTAAGGTCACTGGAGCCAAAGTGGGGAAGGAAGAGTGGGAGCGGATGGGCAGGGGTAAGTATCACTAGGACATCCGACCCACTTCACGTGGGGAAGGAGCCTCCAGCGCTCACATATCCCTACCCATCCTACATATGCAGAGTGGCACTGTACTCTGGAGGTGGGTCAGGGATGGGAGTATAATAACTAGGAGAACATAAGGCAGGCTTAGCGAGAGTGGACACTCCCCCAGTGACCCCACTAAGTCTAGCTATCAGCCACATGGCCCGGAGCAGCGCTGGATGTTGCCTTGACTGTCGAGCGCAGGGTCGCTCTGCCATGGGCTGTTTTGCTCCGCAGAACATCTTTCAGGTAGCATTCGACGAAGGTGGAAGGAGATTTAAAACAAACCACCTGGCAGATTTCAGCTGGAAGAACCCCTCTGAAATATGACCAGGATGTAGAAGGGACCCCAACATAACGGGCCCTGACGTAAGCCTGAGTCATCTCATCATGCTCAGGAGCTGGCCAGTCTTGATTAGCAAAGATGCTGGCCAAGACCGTCCATCGGGCAAAAGTGTCCTTAGACGCTGGGTAAAAGGGTTTTGTCATGGTGACGAAAAACTGAGAATCAGACTCCCGGTGACGTTTGGTCCTGGCAAGCTACTACTTGAGAGTCCGAACCGGGCACCATTTCTTGTCAGTGTCATCTCCCACGAGTGACGTTATATTGGAAATGAATATGTCAGGAGGTCGGAAGGTAGGCATCTGATTTCTACTCGGGAACCCGATGGATGGGATGAGACGAACCCTGTGAGGTTCCCAGCAGATGTGGCCATCGGCAATCGATA